AATTTATGGGGTGTCATAAAAGAAAAATAAAAAATTGAAACTTTTTAAATAGGGTATCTTAAGAAATGAGCCTTATTTAATCCATTAGTGGGGTGTCAATAGCTTCACTCTACATTTAGACAAAGAATGATATTATTTAAGCCTCACTTAAAACTCTTTTTAAGTAGGGGTGTTTGTTAGTTCGGCAAAATTAAAATCAAGTCCAATCCAAATTGAATAAAAACTAAATTGATTTCATCTAAATCTTATCTAATAGACATCCTATTAAACTTTTTGTCGTTAATTAAGTTAGTCACATAATAACAATTAAGAAGATAGAACTATTAGTAAATTACTAATAAAATAGTTTTATTATTTCTAAATTAGTCGTTAAAGAACTATTATGTTATTTAAACATAGTAGAATGATTATATTCAAAATTTGAAACAAATAATTCTATTATAGAGAGTCATAAGTTGGTTTGTCCATTACAAAGATAAAGTAACAAATTAATAATCCCATTAAAATAAATCTATCAAATATTAAAAGTAAAGTTTATTGTCACATAATAACAATTAATAAAATAGATTAAAATTTATAAATTGAAAAGCATTATTGGATTGTATTGGGTTTGAATTGGATTTACTTAGCAAATCCAATAAATACTGAATTCTCCATATTATATAACAAATTATAAATTGGGATTCATATCTCAAATTTTTGTGCAACTTTTTGTGCTAATTGGGAAGATCTCCCAATTAGCGCAAAAAATTGTACAAAAATTTGAGATATGAATTCCAATTTATAATTTGTTATGTAATCTCGTGAATTCAGTATTATATCTTTAAAAGCATGAGGTGGACTATCATTTTGTGTTGGGTTGGGGATGAATTGACTTTCTTTGATGTAGGAATTATTGGGCTTGAGCCTTTCTAGATGGGCTTTACGTGTCAGTGATCTGCGTTGACATCGGTGTTGGGCTAAATGAGTGTTGTCCGTATGATGTAGTGTTGCTGTGTTGGTGGATCATCAGTGGCCTGGCTTGATCACGGTTTTGGTGGGCTCGTCTTGGGTGGGTGGGTTTACAAGACAGGATGTTGCATTAAGACAAGCTAGTCACCCTGTCAGTGTCAGGCAATAGAATAAAATTTAAAAACATGTACCTCTCCTAAAGTATTCGAAATTATAATAGATCCAAAAGTTGGGCATATTTCACAAAAATATCCCCTGTTGTCAGTTATTGTTTCCCCCTGTTGATTGGGTAAAATTGCTACAATTTTTTGACCCATAATGTTTCTTCTACATGTCCAAATTCTATTTCCATCTACATGTAAATAAAATATCCCAGATTTTAAATTTTTTAACCTATTTCATATAAATCAATTCAATTTTTCAACGAAATGCAGAGACCAGAGAGAACAAATCAATCTCACCTCACCACCAGAGATGAAATCAATCAGAACTCTTCTCTCCTTATTTTCTCTATAATCCTCAAATGATGCGCAGCTTTCTTTGTAAAGCTTGTGAAGAGAGGAATTTTGCAGAAATTATGTGAATTGTTCGGATTACAGCAGAATTCATCTCCTTTCTTGAAAGAATAACTCACTCACAACTTCACTTACAAGTTTATTCCAGTTCTATCTGTGTAAGTTTCTTTTATTTCTTAAATTAATATAATTTTTAATTCTCTACTTTTTTTTTTTTAATTAAGTTTAATCTTCACTGATGGAATAAATTGGATGTGTTTTGACAACGTATATTGGATGTATTTTAGTTACAGAAATGAACTTTTTACAAACCTTCATTGATGATGATGGACTTAAGAGAGCAGATGAAATTTCACCTGCACTTTTGAAAGCAATTGAAGAATCAAAGATTTCAGTAATCATTTTCTCAGAAGGATATGCTTCTTCCAAATGGTGTTTGGATGAACTTGTGAAGATTCTTGAATGCAAGGAAAAGAATGGCCAAGTGGTCATGCCGGTCCTTTTTCATGTCAATCCATCAGATGTGAGGAAAGAAACTGGAAGCTTTAAAGATGCTTTAGCTAAGCATGAAATTTTTTTCAAAAAAATACCAGAAAAAATCCGGAGGTGGAGAGCTGCTTTGACTCAAGTGTCCAACATCTGGATGGGCTTCAATGGAAATTAGGTAATTAAATTGGACTCTTTTCTATGTATGAAATTTTCTGTACTCAGTTCTGTTTTAACTTACAGACAATGATCATAAAAGGAAGACCTAATTGTATTCTTGATTTTTTCATAGAGAGAGGTATTAACAATGATATTATTTATTCGGTAGCTCATATACAATTACAAGCTTCATTTCCAATATTGTATATTAATTATTTTGCTTCTATATGGTCATTGGTATAACTCAATATTTCTCTTTGTAAATGCTAGGCCTGAGTCCAAACTTGTAGCTGAAATTGTCAAACAAATATCGAAGAAATTAAATGACATATCACCCCCAAGTGATTTTGAAGGCTTTGTTGGAATAGGTTCCCACAGTGATCGTATTAAATCCCTTTTAACTGCTTTAAGTATTGAATTGTTAGATTTTAAAATTGTAGGTATTTGGGGTATGGGTGGTATAGGTAAAACAACAATTGCTGGAGTTCTGTTTAACCAAATTTCTAGCCAATTTGAAGGTTGCTCCTTCATTGCAAATGTTAGGGAAGAATAAAAAAAATGTGGACTAGTTCATCTAAGAAAGCAACTTCTTTCCCAGATACTAGAAGAAGAAAATCTCACCTTAGGTACTCCAACTATACCAAAACATATTAAGAAGAGACTTCAGTGTAAAATGGTTTTCATTGTTCTGATGATGTCATTGATATAGAGCAATTGGAATTTTTAATCGGAGGAATTGATGAACTTGGTCCAAGAAGTAGAGTCATTGTAACCAGTAGAGATAAACAAGTGCTTTGCAATTATAGAGTGGATTACATATATGAAGTTAAAGGATTCAAGTATCATGAAGCTCTCCAACTCTTTTCCACTTATGCCTTCAAACAAAAATATCCCCCTAAAACTTTTTGGGAGTTGTCAAGCAAGGTAGTCGATTATGCCACAGGCAACCCGTTAGCTCTTAAAACATTGGGTTCCTCATTATATGGAAAGAGCATACAAGATTGGGAGAGTGTATTGCAGAAACTCAAAAGCATTTCCAATCCGAAAATTCACCATGTTTTGAAGGTTAGTTATGATGGACTTGATAGTGCAGAGCAAGATATATTTCTTGACATTGCATGCTTTTTTAAAGGGGAGGATATGAATCATGTAACAAAAATAGTAGATAGGTGATTGAGTACTCTTATTGATAAATCACTTGTAACAATATCAAAAACCAAGATAGAAATGCATGATTTAGTACAAGAAATGGGTTCTGAAATTATTCGCAAAGAATCCTTCAAAAATCTTGGCAAACTTATTAGATTGTGGAAGCATGATGATGTATTTCATGTATTAAAGAATAACACTGTAAGAGTTAAATAATTAGAATATCTTTCTTATACCAGATTTTCCTATAAGGAACGAAGCCACATCTATTTTGTATAAATTTTACAAAAAGATTATGTTTTATACATTAACTGAATCTTTTCTTTTCATATGAAGGGGGACTGAAGCAATTCAATGTTTGTTCTTAGATATGTACAAAATATCAGACCTGCATCTAAGTTCTGAAGCCTTTGAAAATATGCTAAATCTTAAATTTCTTAAAATCTATGTATCGGATCTAGTTGAAGAATTCTCAAGTATATCTAGAGTGCATATTCCACAAGGACTAAAATATCTTTCCAATGAATTGAGATATCTCCATTGGCATGGATGTCCTTTGAAATCATTGCAGTCGAATTTCAGTCAAAAAAGCCTTATTGTAGTCGATTTGCCGTTTAGTAATGTTGATGAACAACATTGGGTAGATGAAAAGGTGTGATTCAATAGTTAATTATGTATTTCCTTGTTAACATATAGAATGTTGATGCTGATTTATTTTAATCATTCTCTTTCACTACAGCATGGTTCAGATGTCAAGTTGCTTAATCATTCGGATGCTCCACAGCTGGAACATTGCCAAAGTTTGCTTGAAATTCCCTCTTCTAGCCAATATCTCACCAACCTTCGTATCTCATTTCTTTATGGCTGCAAAAGTCTAAGGACTTTTCCAAGCAACATACATTTCAAAACTCTTATCAGCTGAGATGGCTATGGTTACGCTATTGCAAGAAGCTTCAATCAATACCAGAGCTTCCACAGGCACTAGAACATTTAGATGCAAGCAATCGCAGGCGACTCCAATCAATACCAGTGCCTCCATCAAATCTAGAAAGATTAGATGAATCAGAACTGGAAATAGTATCTGAAAGCCTTTACTCATCTTCAGGCTGGCGTATAGGATTCATATTTACAAACTTCTTGAACCTGAGTCGGAATGCAGACAACAACATTTTGACAAATTCACAGCAAAGAATTCAACATATGGAAACTGTAGCACTAAGATTTTGTTCTGCAAAGGTTATTACTCTCTTTTTCTTTTCTTTCTTCCTCTTGCACACTCTTATCACTCATCAAAATTATGATTGGTTTCAAATTGCAGGAACATGATAAAATACATAAAGTCAGCTTATATTTACCTGGGAGTGAAATTCCTGGGTGATTCAGCCATCAAAGTTCAGGATCTTCAATTACTATTAAGCTACCTCAACATTGGAGTAACATAAAGTTGATTGGTTTTGCTATATCCGTCGTTCTTGCATTTGAGACAAGTTATCATGGAGATGTTTTTGTAGTTAAAGTGCTCAATTTTGTAGGCCTGACTTTGAAGAGGACAAGTTGAAATTTAGCCCTCTGTTTATTTCTTTTCATTGATAATATTACAACTCGAGACTTTTTATAATTAGGTTCCTATGAAAATACTGAGAACTAAACCTCCTGAATCTTGAACTACAATGCAACATTTGTGCTGACTTCTCTAGTTCTCTTACCAAAAATAACTTCTTAAAGTGCAATTCTGCAAAATAACTCCAGGAATTCATCATTCAAGATCAAGCATGGTCTTTGTGGCATCTATCGGTATTGGACTTAATCTTCTACTTAAGTCTTCTCTGGGTAGAGTGTATCGTTGCCTTCCACATCCAAATCCTGCTCCATTTCTAAGTAGAAGAAGAGCCAACTGTCCAGCAAACACAAAAAACCAGCTGGAATTTTCAATAAAAAGATATCTGCTGAGTGGCCAAAAAGGATAACTCAATAGAATTGAAATACATTTTTCTGCAGTATTGCGAGCTATGTAATGAAAACAAAGGCCAATAAAAGAATAAATTTTAAACCGCAATATGAAAAAACACCTCCAGGAGCCTGATTTTGCACCATATCTTTGCTTGAAAATGGATGATAAGGCCAATTTGTGCTCGAAAAACTTACTGCAAATGCAAGAAAGCTTATTATTAATTTCCTCTGCAACTTGAATTTAAACTTCAAGCTCTTCAGTAATGCAGCCAACCTAGATTTTTTTTTTGAATTTTTCTTTGTAAAATTTCTTAGCTTCCATACAAGTCTGCTCCAGGGCTACTATATCAGGCTCTTAATAGAAGTAAAATCATAATAATCCTTCCTGAGATTCATCTGCAGATCTGAATAATGTTTATAACAGTATAAAAACGGTATTCTCCTGCAAAATAAACAGTAAATAATCAAAACTAGTGTAAAACCTGTAATTCACTTTTAGTGTCTTTTACAATAATTTTATTTAAGGTCAAAATTTTCAAATAATTATTCATGTTTTTGTATCGACCAATGTGCTAACTTATTAGGTTTTCTTGCTATATGTCTAAGCCCAATGCAGCGTCACAAAATTTTTAGCCATTGCGAGCCTACCAATGTCCATAGAACTTAACACTACCATCACTACATAAGTGAATCAATAAAACTCGTTTCAAACAATGATTCAATCCCACAAACAATGAATTGTATCTTAATGCTAGGAAGAACCAAGCAGGTATGCGACTAAACCACCGAGCAACACACCAAATTAAAATAATTTAGAAAATGAATAAATACTCATGATAGAAATTATTTAATTTTCAAATCCTCTTTGCTTCTTCGTTCTATCTTCATTTATTGATTCGTCTTCATCTTCATCATTGATATTGTTTTCCATTTCCTCAAAAGCATCTTCATCTTTATCCCTAGTATTGTTTTCAATTTCCTTGAAAGTATATTCACCATCATCATTGACACTGTTCATTTTCGCTTGTGATTATTGCTTGTAAGTACAACAGAACTGAAATCTCCCAATTAGCATAAGGGAAACAAAAGTTTGGAATATGAACCCCAATTTGTAACTTGGAAAGCAAGAGGAGGACTCTCATTTTGGGCTGGGTTTAGGGGTCATTCAACTTAAGTTAATGCTGGTGGTGTTGGGCGTAGGCCTTTCTTAGGTGGGCTTGAAGGTTTAGTGATCTGGCTTGATGTGGGTGTTGTTGGACTCTTCTTAAAACAAACTGAGCTCAATTTTTCTTTTTTCATCTGCAGCATGCTTTTAAGATTTTGATAAAAGTTTTATAAAAAAAAGCACAATTTAATTAAAGTTACTATCATGTAACAAGATAATATAGTGAGTCTTAAGGAAGTATTTTTATTCTGTTTATTTTATTAATTTGTTGGACCTTTTATAATAACCTTTAATTTCTAAAAGCCAATGTCTTTTTTCCTATTGTAAATTTTAAATAAGTAATATCACAATTACAAAATCTTCTAACAAAGAGGTTAATTGAATATAAAGTGATGTGATATTATTATTTAAATGAAACATCAATTAATGAGTTGTCTTTGTATATTCACTCTACCGATTATATTTTGTCACATCATTTTGTGTAATATTATTCATTTTAAACGCTTGTTTTATTAGTATTATGTACTGATTGATTTAACACAACTCTCTTGTGGAATAACGAAATCCAAAATTATTCTTCCTTTTATTGCAATTTGGTCTGGCAACAAACATGTTCTCTTTAATTAATTTTTAAGAAATTTCCTTGCAATTAATCTGTAATTTCAGCAAAGTTAATTTGTTGATGAAGTTGTTGAATTCTCACATTAACTTGACCAAGACTTGCATATTATGGTCCACCGTCACTTTAATTTGATTTTGATATTTTTCCATCATTCTTGATATTATAAAATTAATTAAGGGTCTAATTTATTAACTATTTGAATTGTTTAATTATGTAGACTATTAAAGTAATTAGCTAACATGGTATCTTTTTAAGAAATTTCGTGACACTTTATCAATAATTTCAGACAAATTGGTAATTACTTTCACCTCTAATGAGTTTGAATTCAATCATAAATATGACATTTCATTTGGACTATTATTGGAATTATTTCACCTCTAATGAAGCCTTGGGAATTGATAGAAACAATCAGCCTGGATGAAAACTAATCGACGGCTGTGATTTACATGTAACATTGTTCAAGTCTACATCAGCTTCTCGTACTTGCATCATACATCATGCTCAGCTATCGAAGAGCTTTGCGCAGCTTCAGCAGCTTTGCCTTGCTTCTGAACCTCATAAGGTAATTGCAACATTTATGAATTAATTATTATCTCAAATCATTTTAATTCTTCTGGTAAATGTTTATCATGTGGATTAATTATGGCTCCGTTTGGTTCACAATTTTGTGTTTTTGAGAAAAGTTTTTTGAAAAAAGTTAAAAAAAAGTTGAATTGGGCAGGTATTACGATGTAGGATTTATAAATTATTAAAATACCCCCTATGTTTGTTTTTTTACAAAACACCCCTTATAATAAAACATTAAAAGTTAACAAAAACACCCCTAATCCACCCTCAAATACGGACAGCCGGCCATCACCGCCGGAGGGTGGCCGGAGTCGTCGTAACAAAAACATTAAAAATATTTAGGGGTATTTAATTGAATTAACAAATTTAGAGGCGTTTAAAAATGTTGAATAAAGTGAATAATATTGTGAGTTTTTTGGTATTTTACTGTTTAACTTTTTGGGAATACAAAAATAGTGGCTCGTTTGGTTCAAAATTTAGGGGTTTTGGGAAAAGTTTTTTTAAAAAAGTTAAAAAAAAGTTGAATTGGGCGGGTATTACGATGTAGAATTTATAAATTAATAAATACCCTTTATGTTTGTTTTTTTACAAAATACCCCTACAATAAAACATTAAAAGTTAACAAAAATACCCCTAACCCACCCTCAAACACCCCAGCGGCGACCACCACCGGAGGTGGTCGGAGTCGCCGTATGGGCGCATGACCGGTTGGATCTTGCCGGTCATGCGTCGCTATGGCCTTTTCCGGCCAGATCCACGGTGGATCTAGCGGAAAAGGCCAGATCTACGGTAGATTCGGCCGTAACGGCAGATCTGGCCTATTTGCTCTCAACGATGGCCAACAAACGGTCGTCGTTGATGGTCAACGACGACCGTTGTTGGCCGTCGTGACGAGTTACGGCCAAAGATCTGGCCGTCAACGGCCAGTCTTTGGCCGTAGATCTGGCCTTTTCCGGCCAGACCACCGTGGATCTGGCCGAAAACGGCTAGATCGGCGCACTACCGGCCAGATTCAGCCGGTAGCGCGCCATTCTACCAGATTCCGGCCATTTTTCGGTGGTGGTGGCCGGAATCTAGTAAATGTGGATTATTGGGGTGTTTTTGTAATTTAAAAAAAATATTTAGGGGTATTTAATTAAATTATCAAATTTAAGGAGTTTAAAAAAAGTTGAATAATATTGGGAGTAGTATTCCCAAAAATCTGAATTTTTGGGAATTTTACTGTTTAACTTTTTTGGGAATACTAAAAGTAGTATTCCCAAATGTGAAACAAACGCAGCCAGTATTCCCAAAATCCAACCAAACGAAGCCTATATGAACCTCAACAGGGAGGTCGATGAGTAGTCTTGTCGTAGGGCAGTGAGGCAGATAGGTTGTGGGGTCTAGCTATATTAAAGTTTGGGAAGGTGAGGGGAGATTCCTCCAATAATTACTTTTTAATAATTTTATTACAGTTAAATAACTTAAAATGTAAAAGAAAAGAAAAGAAAAAAAGCAAAATAAATTGAAAAAATAGAGTAAAATTGACTACAATTTATATTAAATATCTTATTTACAAAGACAATTAGAATTAAATTATTTTTAATTTAATATTTAAAACACAACCAGATATGACCGTCAATCTGACCGAAAAAGGTCAGCTTGGTGTACGATCAACTAGATCCAGTCGGTCGTGCACCGATATTGTGCCTCTAACCACCCTCTAGTAGTTGTGGTCAGCTGTTGGTATTTAATGGGACGTTTTTGTAATTTTTTATGTTTTTATTATAAGGATATTTAGTAAATTAACAAACTTAGAGGGTATTTTTATTAATTTTTAAATTTTACCTCGTCATTACCACTCAACTCATACTTTTTCAAAAATATTATTCAAAATACTAAAACAAACACACCAGGTTAACAAGTGTGCTTTCTAATTATTTCTTTAATGAAGTTGATACATATTTTCCTCCCTAAAGTCTGAGGACATTGTTTTGTAAAATAATTTGTTGAAAACTAACTGCTAAAGGGTATATATATCTTTTTAACCCTTTCATAAAATTTTAGGGGGAACGACTCACACATACCTAAAGTTTGCTGTAAAGACAAAGTGGTATCCAAAAGGTTTAGAAATGACAAATACCTATTTTCTATCATGTTATGTTAAGAATTTTCATCTGCTAAAAGACAAAAATGGTGAAAAGACTGGAATATCCACCGATCCCCACTCTCACCGCGTGCCAGCAAGGGTCAGTGCCACTGTTTATCACCGAACTTCGCAGAAAAATGCTAAATTCGATCAAAAAATCGATTGATGATGCAACAGGGCTATACAAACGGGCTTGGGGTAAGAATTGAATTACTATACTTTCTTTTAGTAGACATAAATCTCTAATAGAATACGACAGAAAGTATTTATTTGTTATTTTTAAAATTTTTGGGTATCAATCTGTCTTTATGCCAAACTTTGGGTAGGTGGAAGTCCTTTGGCCAAAATTTTAAAAACGATGGATGGAGATATGACATTGACAAGACAGACATCAAGGCCCACACTCAAACAAAGGAATTGAAAATCTGAAATAAAGACCTGGAAATTGACCGAAACAATCCACCGGCACTACTGGATTATGAAAACTATTGGACGGCTGTGATTTACATGTGATGCTGTTCAAATCTATATCAGCTTTTTCATATGAATAACACTACACGTATATCATTCCTATACAACATTATGTGGCAAGATGTAATTTAGTGAAAGTTTAATTTTAACTTTAAATTAGCCAATCATATATTGCCACATAATGTTGTATGAAAATGATGTATGTGTAGTATTACTCTTTTCATATATACTTACAAGTCTACGTCAGCTTCTCATTACTTACATCATACATCATGCTCAGCTATCAAAGAACTTTGCGTTTGGTTCCTTCCTTCAACAGCTTTGCTTTGCTTCTGAACCTCAACAGGTAGTTGAAACATATATGAATTAATTGTTTTTCTTAAATGAAGAATTTATTATCTCAAATTATTTTAATTCTTTTGGTAAATGTTTATCACTTTATACATGTAATTGCAACACATATGGATCAATTATTTTTCTTCCATATTGTACACTCTTTATAAGACTTTTCCTCATTTAATCCCTTAATTTCAAATAATAATTGAGGCATTATTACAACAACTAATTAGGAAGCAATTTTAAAAAATATGGTATTTAACACAACTTAAAAGAATTAATGAGTAACTTAATTAATTGACCACCATATATACAAATTCAATAATTATAAAACATGAAATAATATATATTTGAAGTACACAAAAACAGTGTTATAGGTTTCTTCAATGTGCCATATTCAATTGTTTGGCGAAACGACAAATTGTACCCAAAAGGTTTTAAAACGACAAACAGGTACCTTCTGTTAGTAAAAAGAATAGAATGCCCTTTGAGAAATATTAGTCTATTTTTTTAATTACTTTTAGACCCCTTAAGTTTATTAATTCCATCAAATACCCCCAGAAAAAAATTTAAAAATTAACAAAAACACCCCCCACCCATACTTACTCGATTCTGGCGGCCACCGACGATGGTAGCCGAAATCCATCACAACGGTCTATGCCACCACCGAAAATGGCCAGTAATTCACCGATCTGGACTTTTTCACAGTGGATCTGGCCGGAAAAGGTTAGATCTGATGTGAAAATGCCAGATCTGGCTGGAAAGTGACGGCTAAAGAAATGGCCATCGTTGACAGACAACGATGGTGCGGCCATCGACGGCCAGATCTGGCCGTAGATCTGGCCTTTATCAGCTTCTCATATATACTTACGAGTCTTCATCAGCTTCTCATACTTACATCGTATCATCATTTACGGCAAGAATAATCTTACACATACATCATTTTCATATAATATTTTTCATACAAAATTATGTGGTAAAATATGATTAACTAAAAATTTAATTTTAACTTTAAATTAACCTATCATATCTTATCATATAATATTGTATGAGAAATATTATATGAAAATGATATATTTATTGTATTACTCTTCACAGCAATTAAAGTTCTTCTGCGTTTGGTTCCTTCTTTCCTTCCTTAAGCAATCAAATAAAAATAACTTTTGTGTTTCCAAACTTTTTTTTTTTCTTTGTCTTTTACGATCAACTTTATAAAGAGAAATTTGATTTTTTTTTTTTTAAAATAAAAAAAGTTTGAGTGTTGAATATGAAAAATGATACAGTTACCGAAAAAAATACATCGAATTCACGCACCAACAGACGTGACACCATCTTGATCATCCATTAATTATGAAATTTTTTTAAGAAAAGCAGATGGTGCCACGTATGTCAGTGCGTGAATTCTGTGTATTTTTTTCGATAATTGTAGCATTGCTTAGTGAAAAACTTTGAGTAGTGAATATGAAAAATGATACAGTTACCAAAAAAAATACATCGAATTCACACACCGATAGATGTAGCACCATCTTGATCGTTCATTAATTATGAATTTTTTTTTAAGAAAAGCAGATGGTGTCACGTATGTCGTTGCGTGAATTCGATGTATTTTTTTCGATAATTGTAGTATTGCTCAATGAAAAAGTTTGATTATGTTTTTTTTCAAATAAAAAAAGTTTTGAGTGTTGAATATGAAAAATGATATAGTTATAGAAAAAAATACACCAAACTCATGCACCGATAAATGTGGCACCATCTTGATCGTCCATTAATTATGAATTTTTTTTAAAGAAAAGTAGATGGTGCCACATATGTCGGTGCGTGAATTTGGTGTATTTTTTTTTGTAATTGTAGCATTGCTCAATGAAACACTTTGAGTGTTGAATATGAAAAATGATACAGTTACAAAAAAAAATACACCGAATTCATGCACCGACAGACGTGGCATCATCTTGATCGTCCATTAATTATAAATTTTTTTTTTTAAGAAAAGCAGATGGTGCCACGTATGTCGTTGCGTGAATTCGGTGTATTTTTTTAAACATTAGTTTTTGAATTTTTTCGATCTCATAAACATTTCTAGTATATCTCTTTTTTCAGTATTTCTTTTTTCTTGTCCTCCTAAGTAATGTTTGTCAGTGGCTTTCCTTGTTTAAACCAAAAAGAAAGAAAAGACAAAAAAAAAAAAAAGTAATGGCTGAAATAGCTGCTACTGCTGCTTCCAAAGCTGCAGAACAAGTTACAGAGACTGTGTATGATTTCATTTGTTAGAAGATTTCCTTTGTGTTCAAGTACCAGAAGTATATGGAGAAGGCAAAGGAACAAATTGAGGAGGTCAGAAGTCGAAGACAGGATGTGGAAGCAGATGTTGACGTTGCTGAAAGACAAGGGGAAGAGATTTACAATGAAGTTACAGACTGGCTGAGAGGCATGGAAGGTTTCATGGAACGTGAAGTAAAGCTCGTTGATGATGAAGATAAAGCAAAAAGGCGCTGTTTCAAAGGGATGTGTCCTGATTTGATGAAGTGATACAGGCTTAGCGAGGATGCAGAGCAGGTGGCAGAGGATGGAGCCAAGCTCTTGGAAAAAGGAAAATTCAGTGGAGTTTCCCACCCCGCTATTCTAAGGAGGACAAAATCCATATTTGTCGGCGAGGATTATGAGAGGTTTCACTCAAGAGAGTCCAATTTCCAGGATATCATAGAGGCATTGAAGGATTCTAAGGTTAATATGATTGGAGTGCACGCGATGGGTGGTGTGGGAAAAACCACGCTGGTCAAAGAAGTTGCTTGGAGAGCCAAGGAAGATAGTTTATTTGATGAGGTGGTATTTACTGAGGTAACACAAACTCTTGATCTTAAAAAAATTCAAGTCGACATTGCTAGTCAATTGGGCATGGTATTTAAAGACCAAGAGAATCTATCTGGAAGAGCTGATCAATTACTTTATAGGTTGAAAAAAGCCAAGAGAATCCTTGTAATTGCATATAATATCTGGAAGAAGCTTGACTTGAAGGTTGTTGGGATTCCTTTTAGCTATGATGATAAAGGTAGCATCCAACAAGACAAGAAAGAAAGCAACGATGAGAAATTGTGATGCACAAAATTGTTAACAGCTAGAACACAAGTTGTATTAAAAGAAATGAATACTCAGAGGAATGTATCTGTTGAGCCTTTGGGTGATGATGATGGAAGAAATTTGTTTGGGAACATCGTTGGTGATTTAACAGATAAATGTGATATAGCAGCTGAAATAATTGAAAAATATGCAGGTCTACCACTTGCAATTACAACAATTGCAAGTGCTTTGAAAGGTCAGAGTGATTCTGTCTGGAGGGATGCGTTATGTCAGTTAAAAAGTTCTAATCCAAGATGTGTTCCAGAAATGGATAACACTTTATACTCAACTATTGAATTAAGTTACGCATTGTTGAACAGTGAAGAAGCAAAATCATTGCTTCTACTTTGTGCTCTTTCTGATGTGGGTACTAGTATACCTTTCATGTGCTTCCTAGCATACGACATTGGGTTGAGCTTGTTTCAAGATGTTCATACGATTAACGATAGAATGAATAGAATCAAATCGCTGATTGATTATCTTGAAGCTTCGTGTTTGTTGTTGAAAGGTAACAATAATGAGATGGTCAAAATGCATGACATCACTCATATGGTTGTTGCATCAATTGCTAAAGAGAAAAGTATGATTAATATTCAAGATGCCAATGGCTTTAAAGAAGTGTTGGTGAAGCGAGTGTACAAAGATTCTATTGCAATTTGTTTGCATCATGGAGACATTGACGAGCTTCCTAAAAGGGTAAATTTTCTGAACCTCCAGTTACTTGCTTTGCATCTTGAAAAGGTGAGAGTGATTCTGTCTAGAGGGATGCGTTACATCAGTTAAACAGTTCTAATCCAAGATGTGTTCTAGAAATAGATAACATTTATACTCAACTATTGAATTGAGTTACGCATTGTTGAACAGTGAAGAAGCAAAATCACTGCTTATACTTTCTGCTTTTTCTGATGTGGGTACTAGTATACCTTTCATGTGCTTCCTGGCATACGGCATTGGGTTGGGCTTGTTTCAAGATGTTCATACGATTAACGATAGAATTAATAGAATCAAGTCGCTGATTGATTATCTTGAAGCTTCGTGTTTGTTGTTGAAAGGTAACAATAATTAGACGGTCAAAATGCATGACATCGCTCATATGGTTGTTGCATCAATTGCCAAAAAAAAAAACGTATGTTTAATATTCAAGATGCCAATGGCTTTAAAAAAGTGTTGGTGAAGGCAATGTACAAAGATTCTATTGCAATTTGCTTGTATCATGGAGACATTGACGGGCTTCCTGAAAGGGTAAACTTTCTGAACCTCCAGTTACTTGCTTTGCGTCTTCAAAAGGCGAGAGTGACTCTGTCTAAAGGGATCGCAATACAGTCAATTTTTCAAGATTAGGTTCTACACAAGGTCTTTACCTATTGTGAAATATGAGTTGATAACTTAACTCAATGCGTAAGTTGAAAAGAGAAGAAGCAAAATCACTGCTTCTACTCTGTGCTCTTTAAGATGTGGGTACTAGTATACCTTTCATGTGCTTCCTCGCATACGGCACGGGGTTGGGCTTGTTTCAAGATGTTCATACGATTAACGATAGAATAAATAGAATCAAGTCATTGATTGATTATCTTGAAGCTTCGTGTTTGTTGTTGAAAGGTAAAAATAATAAGACGGTCAAAATGCATGACATCACTCATATGGCTATTGCATCAATTGCAAAAGAGAAACGTATGTTTTATATTCAAGATGCCAATGGCTTTAAATAAGTGTTGGTGAAGGGAATGTACAAAGATTCTATTGCAATTTGCTTGCATCATGGAGACATTGATGGGCTTCCTGAAAGGGTAAACCTTTGGAACCTCCAATTACTTGCTTTCTGTCTTGAAAAGGTAAGAGTGATTCTGTCTGAAGGGATGCGTTACGTCAGTTAAAAAGTTATATTCCAAGATGTGTTCCAGAAATGGATAACACTTTATACTCAACTATTGAATTGAGTTACGCATTGTTGAATAGTAAAGAAGCAAAATCACTGCTTCTACTTTGTGCTCTTACTGATAGGGCTACTAGTATACCTTTCATGTGCTTCCTGGCATACGGCATGGGGTTAGGCTTGTTTCAAGATGTTCATAAGATTAATGATAGAATGAATAGAATCAAGTCGCTGATTGATTATCTTGAAGCTTCGTGTTTGTTGTTAAAAGATAACAATAATGAGACGGTCAAAATGCATGACATCGCTCATATGGTTGTTGCATTAATTGCCAAAGAGAAACGCATGTTTAATATTCAAGATCCAATGGCTTTAAAGAAGTGTTGGTGAAGGGAATGTACAAAGATTTTATTGCAATTTGTTTGCATCATGGAGACATTGATGGGCTTCTTGAAAGGGTAAACTTTCAGAACCTCCAATTACCTGCTTTATGTCTAAAAAAGATGAGAGATATTCTGTCTAGAGGGATGCATTACGTTTGTTAAAAGGTTTTAATCCAAGATGTGTTCCAGAAATGGATAACACTTCATACTCAACTATTGAATTGAGTTACACATTGTTGAAAAGTGAAGAAGCAAAATCACTGCTTCTACTTTGTGCTCTTTCTGATGTGGGTACTAGTATACCTTTCATGTGCTTCTTGGCATACGACATGGGGTTAGACTTGTTTTGAGATGTTTATAAGATTAACAATAGAATGAATAGAATCAAGTCGCTGATTGATTATCTTGAAGCTTCGTGTTTGTTGTTGAAAGGTAACAATAATAAGACGGTAAAAATGCATGACATCGCTTATATGGTTGTTGCATCAATTGCCAAAGAGAAATGTATGTTTATATTCAAGATGCCAATAGCTTTAAAGAAGTGTTGGTGAAGGGAATGTACAAAGATTCTATTGCAATTTGTTTGCATCATGGAGACATTGATGGGCTTCCTGAAAGGGTAAACTTTCTGAACCTCCAGTTACTTGCTTTGTGTCTTGAAAAGGTGAGAATGATTATGTCTGGAGGGATGCGTTACATCTGTTAAAAAGTTCTAATCTAAGATGTGTTCTAGAAATGGATAACACTTTATACTCAACTATTGAATTGAGTTACGCATTGTTGAACAATGAAGAAGCAACATCACTGCTCTACTTTGTGCTCTTTTTGATGTGAGTACTAGTATACCTTTCATGCGCTTCCTAGCATACAACATGTGGTTGGGATTGTTTCAAGATGTTCGTACGATTAACGATAAAATGAATAGAATCAAGTCACTAATTGATTATCTTGAAGTTTCGTGTTTGTTGTTGAAAGGTAACAATAATGAGATGGTCAAAATGCATGACATCGCTCATATGGTTGTTGCATCAATTGCTAAAGAGAAATGTATGTTTAATATTCAAGATGCCAATGGCTTTAAAGAAGTGTTGGTGAAGGGAATGTAAAAAGATTCTATTGCAATTTCTTTGCATCATGGAGACATTGATGGGCTTCCTGAAAGGGTAAACTTTCCAAACCTCCAGTTACTTGTTTTGTGTCTTGAAAAGGTGGGAGTGATTCTGTCTGGAGGGGTGTGTTACATGAGTTAAAAAGTTCTAATCCAAGATATGTTCCAGAAATGGATAACATTTCATACTCAACTGTTGAATTGAGTTACGCATTGTTGGACAGTGAAGAAGCGAAATCACTGCTTCTACTTTGTGCTCTTTCTGATGTGGGTACTAGTATACCTTTCATGTGCTTCCTGGCATACGACATTGGGTTGGGCCTGTTTCAAGATGTTCATATGATTAACGATAGAATGAATAGAATCAAGTTGCTGATTGATTATCTTGAAGCTTTGTGTTTGTTTATTGAAAGGTAACAATAATAAGACGGTCAAAATGCATGATATCGCTCATATGGTTGTTGCATCAATTGCCAAAGAGAAACGTATGTTTAATATTCAAGATGCGAATGGCTTTAAAGAAGTGTTGGTGAAGGGATTCTACAAAGATTCTATTGCAATTTGTTTGCATCATGTAGACATTGATGGGCTTCCTGAAAGGGTAAACTTTGTAGAACCTCCAATTACTTGTTTTGTGTTTTGAAAAGGTGAGAGTAATTATGTCGGAAGGGATGCGTTACCTCAGTTAAAAATTTCTCATCCAAGATGTGTTCCACAAATGGATAACACTTTATACTCAATTATTGAATTGAGTTACGCATTGTTGAATAGTGAAGAAGCAAAATCACTTCTTCTACTCTGTGCTCTTTTTGATATGGGTACTAGTATACCTTTCATGTGCTTCCTGGCATACGGCATGGGGTTGGGCTTGTTTTAAGATATTCATACGATTAACAATAGAATGAATAGAATCAAGTTGTTGATTGATTATCTTGAAGCTTCGTGTTTGTTGTTGAAAGGTAACAATAATGAGACGGTCAAAATGCATGACATTGTCATATGGTTGTTGAATCAATTGCCAAAGAGAAACGCATGTTTAATATTCATGATGCCAATGACTTTAAAGAAGTGTTAGTGAAGGGAATGTACAAAGATTCTATTGCAATTTGTTAGCATCATGGAGACATTGACAGGTCTCCTGAAAGGGTAAACTTTCCAAACCTCCAGTTACTTGCTTTGTGTCTTGAAAAGGTGAGAGTGATTCCATCTGGAGGGGTGCGTTACGTCAGTTAAAAAGTTCTAATCCAAGATGTGTTCCAGAAATGGATAACAATTTATACTCAACTATTGAATTGAGTTACGCATTGTTGAACAGTGAATAAGCAAAATCAATGCTACTACTTTGTGCTCTTTCTGATTTGGGTACTAGTATACCTTTCATGTGCGTCTTGGCATACGGCATGAGGTTGGGCTTGTTTCAAGATGTTCATATGATTAACGATAGAATGAATACAAACAAGTCGCTGATTGATTATCTTGAAGCTTCGTGTTTGTTGTTGAAAGGTAACAATAATGAGAAAGTCAAAATGCATGACATCATTCATATGGTTGTTGAATCAATTGCCAAAGAGAATCGTATGTTCAGTATTCAAGACGCCAATGGCTTTAAAGAAGT